TCCTCATCATTATCAACATCCTCATCATCTTCATCATCATCATCCTCATCATCATCCTCATCATTTTCATCATCCTCATCATCATCATCATCATCCTCATCATTTTCATCATCCTCATCATCACCATCATCATCATCCTCATCATCATCACCTTCATCATCCTCATCATCATCCTCATCATCATCACCTTCATCATCCTCATCATCATCATCATCATCCTCATCATCATCCTCATCATCACCAACATCATCATCATCCTCATCATCATCCTCATCAACATCCTCATCAACATCCTCATCATCATCATCCTCATCATCATCATCAGCATCCTCATCAGCATCCTCATCATCATCCTCATCATCATCCTCATCATCACCAACATCATCATCATCATCCTCATCATCATCCTCATCAACATCCTCATCATCATCATCATCCTCATCATCAGCATCCTCATCATCCTCATCATCATCCTCATCATCCTCATCATCATCCTCATCATCATCATCATCCTCATCATCCTCCTCATCATCATCATCATCATCCTCATCATCATCATCATCCTCATCATCATCCTCCTCATCATCACCTCCATCATCATCACCATCATCATCATCATCATCCTCATCATCGAAGGAACCAAAGTAATTCCAGAGAAACCCTGTGCTGTGCTTTACTCCAGGGCCTCACATTCTCTGAACCTCAGCTTTAAAACTGAAAAACTGCAGCAAAGATTCTGGCTTTAAAGAAACAGCATTTTCTAAAATGTCCTTTTGCAGGTTACAAGTTTTTTGTTCAATATTGAGTTGTTGTGAACAGTATAAGACTTCTGTTACTAAGACGACTGTTACTGAGACGACTGTTACTGAGACGACTGTTACTAAGACAGACTGTTACTAAGACGACTGTTACTAAGACGACTGTTACTAAGACAGACTGTTACTGAGACGACTGTTACTAAGACGACTGTTACTAAGACGACTGTTACTGAGACAGACTGTTACTAAGACGACTGTTACTAAGACGACTGTTACTGAGACGACTGTTACTGAGACGACTGTTACTAAGACAGACTGTTACTAAGACGACTGTTACTTAGACGACTGTTACTAAGACAGACTGTTACTGAGACGACTGTTACTAAGACGACTGTTACTAAGACGACTGTTACTGAGACAGACTGTTACTAAGACGACTGTTACTGAGACAGACTGTTACTAAGACAGACTGTTGCTAAGACAACTGTTACTAAGATGACTGTTACTAAGACGACTGTTACTAAGACGACTGTTACTAAGACAGACTGTTACTAAGACGACTGTTACTAAGACGACTGTTACTGAGACAGACTGTTACTAAGACAGACTGTTGCTAAGACGACTGTTACTAAGATGACTGTTACTAAGACGACTGTTACTAAGACGACTGTTACTAAGACAGACTGTTACTAAGACGACTGTTACTAAGACGACTGTTACTAAGACGATTGTTACTAAGACGACTGTTACTTACTTTTC